ATGGGCGCTGTGTAGAATTGAGAAATAATTTCTGAGTTGTTAGAAGCCCCCACCTCTATAGGTGGTGGGTAGTTCACCAAGCATTAGGAGAACCAACCAACGAACTCCAACATAACCTGCTTTTTGAATTAGTAAAAAAAATTAGTTCTTATTATGTTCCCGAGGCTAAACAATCCTACACTAATTATTCCATGCTCGGAACAGTCTCGGAAATAGTAGAAAAGAGATTTAAAGAAGGCAAAAGGAGAGGGCAAGTATTTTACACTCTCAAACTAGGAGAACCTAAGGGAGAGAAGTTCCGAGCCTTACAAGAAGATTTACCCCCTGCCAAATGAGCCCAAGTCCAAAAGTCGGCTATTTTGGGTAAGAATTTGGTTTTTAAGTATAAGTTTTGGTTAACGAATAAAGATATTTTGGACTTCTCCCCAACCAAAAAGGCCAGCCAAGGCACGAAGGGAACGAACTGTTAGCTGGCTGGCTGTCTGTAAGGCACTTATTGCCATAAGGCCTTCGGAAGCCCTTCCAGTAAACTGTTCGAGCCCCCTTCGGCCTTCCTTCGAACTTATACGCACCCGAAAAATTTTTTATGACTAATCAATTAATTAACTGACCGGAAATCTACCAGCAACCAGGACTATTTCATGTCTACCTTACCGAAAGAAAGAGAGGCAAGACCGACACAAAAGCTTGGAGTTGGTTGGAGGACATAACCACTAATAACCGAACCCTTTATGCTTGACTACGGAGGCATTGACACGATAGCCTGGAATGTTCCAAACCTTACTGACAAGACCTAGTTTATAAGTTTTGTGAGGAGAAAGGACTGAGCCCGAATGCTTTCGAAGTCCAAGAACAAGGACTTTTTTATCGGAGCAAAAGACGGATATACTTTTTTGATTTGTTTAGCTTCCGAAAGGCTAGGGGAAAAATAGCCCGAGGGACTATATTTAGTGAGATAGTTTATGAGGAAGCCATACCCCTCGACCAAGAAATATTACCCCGAGAGCAATGAAAACTCAAAGACTTCATTGAGAGCCTGAAAAGAAAAGAGCAGGACCTAAAAATAACTTTCTTGGCTAACCCGTATTTATTCAGCATTTATTTTTGTGATAACTTTGGGGATATTTT